ATTCCAAAGATACTCACTGAGAGGGACTTGATCATGGAGGCCACCGGCCCTGCAAGGCTAAAAAACAAATCACTATGCAACAACTATGGAGTTACATGAAAGATGAGGAGTTATATCTTATTGGGCACTGGTACATCATACTGCAGCTTCAGCTAAAGTGTAAAGGGATGCAATATTATCTGAGATTACTGCTTTGTATATCAGAGTATTTATTTTTTGCAGCACAGTTCCAGTCTCTCTACTTGTAGCTTAAAGTATGTTCTGGTTCCCCTCTCAACTCCACGTGCTGCTGGGCAGACATTGAGCAGGAAACACCACTTATTGGTGTACTTGTTCCCCTGTTGGGGAACACCACCAATTCCAGGGTGTCCAGGGTTGCATTCATGTATGTATTAGGAGGTAGAACTCATCTTGACAATTAGGACCTCTGCTATTGTAATGGCAAGTAATGGGACTAAGGTAAATATATGGGGAAAGAAATCCTGCATTATGAATTAGTCTTAATATAGTAGGGACATTTTAATGCTTATTCAGGCAAAATGTCACAGCAGATGTGATAATTCTAAAGCAAAACATTGGTAGCAACACATGTGTTCTGACTGGAATTCAACCATAATAATTCTTTTATTGTCTTAATCTGTAAATCTTCGTGTGCGTGAGCAAGTGATGTTTCTGTGTGAATCTCAGCTCTCTTCTTTCACATACTTGCAGATGCTAGACATATCTTAAAATCAAATAATTGAAAATGTACCTTAGTACTTGCTTTAGTCTACATTCCCTTTGTTTATGCCGAAGATTACATGGATGATATATAGTGTTGAAAAAAACCTAATTCAAAGAACTTATTTAAATAAAGATCAATTTGCAAATAGTACCGATGACTGTATAGACATTACTATGTACATAGACATGTAAAAAATAGAAAACATACAAGAAAATTTCAACCTGATACATTTGCAAAATATTAAGGTTTGGAACACGTTAAGACATCTGGGCATACAACATATGTAAACCATTTTGTGGTGAAACCAGAAGTGATGAATTGCACATTCGCTGATATCAGCTACAATATAACAAAGTCAGCTCTTTCCTTTTCATCATTATAGTTGAAGCTTCAGCAATAGGCTTTGATTAAAAAATAACAACCATAAAAACCCAGTTCATGCCTTAAAAACATTTGTGTACAGAACAATAACAGTAACAGCATGTGTATTTAAATGAGCTACAAAAAAACCCAACTTAACGGAAGCAGAATTGTAATACACCTATCATTGAGCATCTTAATACCTAAGACATCTGGCTGCATTTTGCATCTAGTGATATTAATAACATGATATTGAATCCCTCGCTTTATGGCTGTACAGCCCTGGAGTTCCAGACCCGAGATTATATATTATACAATTTGCATATGATTCTATTTCTTAGATAATCATATTGCTCAAAACCAAATGCTGATATTTTCAGTATTTATGCACAGTTCCTGACCCATCTTTCATGTAAAGCTCCGTGTCATTACATAGAAATTCAGGGACATTTACTGTAATCACAGCAGCAGCATGTTATAGAGAAACAGAAATATTCACACCATCTCACTAAATGTAGTGTCATTGTCTAAATTAGAAGCTTTGACAATATAGTGGAACATCTTCGGAACTAGACAGCCAGATCCTCTTTCTGAGGATCCTCCGATCATCTAGGGACACCTAACTCCATATTGCATGACAATTTCCCATCTTATTTTCACGTATCTTATCTGGAGGAGCAAGAATTCACAAAACTTTAGCTGGGAATACAGATTGGGTGGAGTTTAAGGATCTTTGTCAAATCCTAAATATGGTGTCATGAATTTCTAGTCAATGTTGTGGCCAGGGATCAGCAGACAGTTCCCCCCTATTGTGGTGAAGTCTCTCCCTGGGATTTCACCCAGACTAGGTCTGCAAACACTGGTGATGTAGCTGGGCTACATGAAACTAGTGTTCAGAGAAGGTCTTGTCCCTGCCAAGCAGGAGATGCAGGCAGTATATTCTGCTCCCATTGCATTGCATCACACGCTCGTCATGACAGATTAAAAAACAGACCCCAAAGTTCTTATGTGCACTTGCAAAGGGGCTTTTTCTTCTATTCATGGTATTTGCTTCAGACTTTGGAAAGTACTATATAAAAAATCATAGAAGAAATGGCACTTCCATGCGGGAAGAATACTTGCTTGACTTACAGGCCAAGGCAGACACTGAAGCACACATCTAAGAAGTCTTCCAGCATATGGCCACTCTCCTAAATTGGGACCATGAATGAGAATATGTTAACATATTCGCTATATTTACATGTTACATTGAGACAGTTATAATCAGTCTCAAGTCTTTAGAACATTGAAAAAATAGAGTAGACATCTGTTCCATCAAAGAAGATGTGTTTTCATTAAAACCACTAGAGATCAAAACTTGGTGTCACCAGTAAAATGTTAATATTCCAATTGTATAAACCAAGTGTCCAAACAGAAAAGGTTTTATATTGAAGCGAATGCATCCACATAAAACAAAACTCTTTAAAATGGAATGTAGCCAGTTTCTAAATACATTCAAATATGACAGTGTCTTTGTAAATAGAAAACTAGATAGTGCTGAAGAGCTAAAGCAGTCCCTTTTCCAAATCGTTCAAAAGGATATATTTCTCCTTCTTTACTATCATTAATGCACAGTTGCTTGAGCTACAGCTGTTCTAGCCTTTGGCAACAGTTCAAGTAACTTCCCCTCTTCTCTCCTTTGCATCCCTCCATCTTCCATTTTGACACCACAGAGTTGTCAGGGCATATCTTGATTTCATAAAGTTTTATGAAAAATGCCACGTCCCATACTCTGTTGGTGTGTGTGCAGCCAGTCAAGGAAGCATGTAATAAATTCACCATGGTCCTTCAATTGTCACTCAGGTGGTGGCACATCTCTAGTCCCTGCATCTCATCCAATGGAGGCTATGTACTGACAAGCTCCCTCTTACTTGCACAGAGCCTGCTGAGAAGGATTTCAGAATAAACTTGATTTATTGGACCTCGGACACGATATGGGGACTGAGAATTTTTTGCATAGTCCTGCAGTTGTGATGGTTTGCTTTGACTGCCGAAAAATTTCCCCAGCGTATAGTGCCTTGATAACGTCATTGTTATGTGTGGACTTTCTTCAGAGGGATTGGATTTCACCACCTGCAAAAGAAATTACATATGTGAGTGCTTTCTGCCTGCACCTAGAAGGATACACAGCTGTGTGTACAGAAATGCTGAGATAGTTCTCCACAAAGCAGCTCCTGATACTCTTACCTTAAGCTGCAAGTCACTCACAAACAGTATTTTAGTGGGACAACTCATTATGTTACATACTAATTAAAGTGCAAGACCTTATTCACCTTGAAATCTCAATGTATATACTCAGTTGGTTGAGTCTGTAATGCCTTTGTATATTGGACTCTGTTATCTTCCTTATGGACAATTTATCTGAACAACAAAATTCATACTTAACAGCTTGTCTGTATAATTTCCCATGGGAAAAAATAAAATCAGGACAGTCCTGACTTGCAGGAAGGTTTAAAACCTGCTCTGATCCCAAGCACTTGAGGAACATATGCTGTGTCTCAGCTGTGAGCCCTGAGAGAACGTCTCATTCTCAGGTCTTGATGCAAACCTGGCCCAGCTCCATCTTGAGACAAAAACATCCATGTGTCATGTTTCTCCAAGAAGGGAGTTATGGTGAAATTTAACATCTCTCTCCCCAGGGCATCATGCTGATATAACCACAATGTGCTTCAGTAACTTAGTGCACAAGAATGTTCCTCCTTGGATCCCCAAATATATATAGAGCTCTGAGATTACATTTAAAGCCCTCATGTTCAATTTTATGGAATAAGCAAATGCCCATGGGACTAATGAGAGGAAAAGCGAAAGGTACAGTTGTCAGGAGACTAATGGCTCTTCATATAAAATTAAACGTGAGTGAAGGAATAACATGTGAGGGAGCTGGCTGAGCTAAAAAAATTATCCATGTAGAAAATTAATATATCTTCTGATCAATTTGATACAGCTAAGCCAAGGGCTGTTATTTGTTTTCATGTAATTACTGCAGGTTCATTTTTCTAAATGAATGCCTTAGATCTTACAACTATTTCAAAATGATGCCACCTTGAACCAATCACCCAAACTGCATTCCTGTTAGGCATAATCTCCCAGGAATGCAATCTAATGTTCATCCAGCAGCCAGCCACTGATTAAGATACCAAAATCCCAAGGTTGCTAGTTTCTATGTTTCATCGACATTAAATTAGGAAATAAATCTGAATAAAAAAATATGTTCCATAAAGGTCTTTATAATTGCTCTCCAATTTACTTTTCCATAAGCATTTGTGCAGAATGAGTAATTAAAAAATCAGGTTTTCATGTGTGCATTGAACCAGAAGTGTGTTTGGGCAGAAAGTGCCAGAGTTATGCAAGATTTTTTGTCCCAGATCAATGTAATTCCTTTGTGAGTCCTGATCCCTTGGCAATCTCAGTGAAGAGCTGCAGGTTTCTGTATTATCAGGGTGACCTGAGGCCTTCTGAAGTGGGTTGGTAGGAAATAGCTTTCACAGAATCACAGAATGTTAGGGACTGGAAGGGACCTCGAAAGATCATCTAGCCCAATCCCCCTGCTGGAGCAGGAACCTAAATGAAATCACACAGAAAGGCGTCCAGGTGGGTTTTGAATGTCTCCAGAGAAGGAGACTCCGCAACCTCTCTTGGCAGCCTGTTCCAGTGCTCTGTCACCCTCACTGTAAAGAAGTTTCTTCTGAAATTTAAGTGGAACCTCCTGTGTTCCATCTTACACCCATTGCCCCTTGTCCTGTCATTGGGCATCACTGAGAAGAGCCTGGCTCCATCCTCATGACATTCGCCCTTAACATATTTATAAACATTAATGAGGTCACCCCTCAGTCTCCTCTTCTCCAAGCTAAAGACACCCAGCTCCCTCAGCCTTTCCTCATAAGGGAGATGCTCCACTCCCTTAATCATCTTGGTGGCTCTGTGCTGGACTCCCTCAAGCAGTTCCCTGTCCCTCTTGAACTGTGGGGCCCAGAACTGGACACAATATTCCAGATGCGGCCTCACCAGGGCAGAGTAGAGGGGGAGGAGAACCTCTCTTGAACTACTAACCACACCCTTTCTAATGCACCCCAGGATGCCATTTGCCTTCCTGGCCACAAGGACACAGTGCTGGCTCATGGTCATCCTGCTGTCCACCAGGACTCCCAAATCCCTTTCCCCTACACTGCTTTCTGTTTGACCAGCTAGCACGAACTAAATGAGAACTGCTGAATGCATTTGATTTCTTGTTTTCTGACTGCACAGAATAGCCATCCCTCCTTTCCCACATGGCCATGCTTTAGCTCAGATGGCATTTACAGAGTGGTACTGTCTTCTGGGAGTTTAGGAAGTCACTATTTCACTATTCTTTCTCACTAGAGAAAGAAAGTGAAACTACAAAGCAGTAGATTTAATTCATCTCATCTGGTTTCATAAAACACTGAAAAAGTGCTGGAGTTTTACACAGTGTTCTTGGCTCTGCCCTCAGAGGCAAAATGCCATTTTCCTAGCGCAAACTGCTTCAGCACCTGATGAAAGTCCACTTGCCAGGATGCAGAAGTAAACTGATGACAAAACTGTTAAAACTAATGAGGTATCAAAAGCATTCAAGGACTTTCTTATTGCTTTCCTCAAGGATCTAGTTTGAGTTTTGCGGGTTGATGGATTCTCCTAGGCATGTCTATGCTTCTTTCAGGCACAATCACCTCTCAAGCCTCATTAACAACAGCTCTGTGAGCCAATTTCTCCCCTGATCATCCCCAGAAACACATACTCTCTGTTGAGACTCCTCTGGCAGAAAAGCAAGGCCAAATCTGCACATGAGCTCATACAAAATGATGGAGGACTGCATGAAAAATGCCGATGACCGATCAATGCCCTGCTGTTTTCCACCCAGTTCCATACAAAGCATCTGAAATATTTCACTTTGAAAATCTCGATTTCATTCAAAAGTTCTGTGGAAATGGCAAGCATCAGCAATGACCCACGAAGACACCACCATCTGTGTTCTAGACAAAAAAGGGTCAATATAGCCGTTTGGGTGAAATGGAGGGAGACATTTACTCCATGGGACTATTTATCCATCACATCAATATATCCTCTGTGACTTTTTCTTTTCCAGCTCTATTTGGACTTAGCTGTGTTCATGCCTCTCTCATGTACTGAGCAGAGTAAATTAAAGGACAGATTAACTAACCATGCCTGCTGTGTTTGGTTCCAAAGCAGGACAGAGGCCATGGCAATGGGCTGAAAACATGTGAACTGCTGAGGAGCCTGAGGTGGAAACCAGCTGTGAGGTTGACACACAGTACGTGAGGTCAGACAGGTCTGATAATGCTCCCAAACCTGTGCTCAGTGCTAGTGAGCCTCATACTGGAACAGACTTCCAACCAGTGACAGCTGATTGTCTCCCCACTCTCTTTTGAGAACACATTTGTTGTCTGTTAGACTGTCTCTGATAAGTCTGTCTGTGATATTTAAGGAGAAAAATCAAAGCCTAATAATTATTAATTTTTTTATTCTGCTTTATGTAAATATTTAGGCTTGCTATGCTGGTCCTTGGCCAGCGGACACCACAAGGACACTCTGGAGCCTATGCTTGAATTTTACTATCCTCACCACCAAATTTCAGCTTGTTGTTTAAACTACTCCTAGGTTTAATTAGCCACAGTATATTTTGTTTTTCAGTGTATACTGTGGGTGTCTGATGAAGGAAACCTTATTTTCAGATCTTTGCTTTTTTTGTATCTTTAAGGAAAATACATCACAGCTGTCCCGACATTTCTTCACAGCAAAAATTAGTGCTTCCACTTAAT